AGTAGTAGTAGTAGTAGTAGTATACTAGTAGTAGTAGTTGTAGTAGTAGTAGTAGTAGTAGTAGTAGTAGTAGTAGTATAGTAGTAGTAGTAGTAGTAGTAGTAGTAGTAGTAGTAGTAGTAGTATGAGTAGTAGCAGCAGCAGTAGTAGGAGGAGGAGTAGAAGCAGCATTGCAGCTGTTGCTGTCGCTGTGTTTGTGGTTGTGGTCGTGGCCCTGGTTGGGGTTGTGTCGTCGTAGTCGTCGTCGTCGTCGTCGTGGTCATAGTCATAGTCGGTTTCTTGTCGTTTAATTTTTCAGCTGTCGTCAAGATCACCCTGCCGGCTGCAACAGCTCAGTGCACGCAGAAGTCTGCTGTGATTCTGCTTCCCTTCATGGTACTCACCAGTTCATTTCAACTGAGGCTTGCTTGCCAAGCCGAGAACAAGTCGGGCGAGGCTGGTTTCTGATCCATGTCCTGCAAGCGTCTTGCTCTGGAGCCGCAAAGCCTTGCATGCCAAATCCTGCAAACTCCATGAACTGTAAGCCCTAAAGCACAAACACTACACCCTACGCATTGCTCCTCATCTTCTGCAGCTCTCCGCTGATGGCCTTTGTAGAAAGCCTGGCCGCAGGCTTCCCAGTTTGAGGAGCAGGTCATCGTTTTCCAGCCGTGGCAGGCGCGAGCCTTTAGATTTCAACTGAAAATCCCAGCTGCATAGTGTTTAGGGTTCAGGGTTTAGGGTTAAGGGTTTAGGGGATTTTTTTGATGTACTGAACCCCTAATCTTGGGAATCGATGCTGCGCATTCCCGCCCCGGCCCGGTGGCCTCTGAGTTCTCTGAAGTGCAGTGGAGAGGGTTTAGGGTTCAGGGTTTAGGGTTTAGGGTTTAGGGTTTAGGGTTTAGGAGATGGGGCAAGGTATAAGCCGGGCATGCAGATGAGTAGTTCTCTAAATTAGGGTTCCTTTTGGGTCCCAAATATAGTACGGCACCCTTATAAAAGGACCCCCAAAAGGGACCCTAATTTAGAGAACTACCCTGATGAGTAAGAGGGTTACTTCAGGGGTATTGTCTGTGGAGTTGATGCAATGGCAGACCAGGGTGTACGCTTGTCCAGACTGGGTCATCGAAGCTTGCTTCCTCCCAAGCATTCTCGGCACAAGAAGGGGACCATCATCGACCACGCTGGGGCGACTTTCGTGAAGGTTTCCTCTCCATGGGCATCGGAAGACGGGTTATCCCGTCATTTCAGTTGTTGGCGTGGGGGTTCAAGGAGACAACTCCGTTGAGTTGCGTCGTCTTACGGGTTGCAAGCAAGAAGCCCCAAACCCTAAACCGCTAAAGCCCTAATCCCGAAAACCTCACAGCCCTAAGCCCTAAACCCAAAACCCTAAACCCGAAACCATACACCCCCCTTGTTTGCCTCTGTCCATTTGGGAGTTTCCAAAAATTAGGGTACCTTATTTTGGGGGTCCTTATAATCAGGATCCTATTATTTAGGGTTCTATATTAGGGTCCCCTATTTTCGGAAACCCCCATTTTTGCTTGGGCAAGGCATGGTCACCCGACGAGGTTCGCAGGCAGAAGCGACATCGAAAGCCCCAGAGGCGGGGTCCGGATAGGTCCGAAGGCCCACACGCGGTTCTGTTTTCTCCTTTTGTGGAGATGCCCCGCATTGTAGGATGACCTACATAAGAGCACGAGAGTTATGGCTCTTGAGGGTTCGCTCATGAAAAGCCCAAGACAAAGCCTTTGCTTCGATCTGTAGGCCACCCGCGAACTGCTGCTTCCGTTACTACGACGCCGACGACGACGACTGCTACTGCTACTGCTACTGCGACCGCTGCTGCTGCTGCTGCTGCCACCACGACGACGACGACGCCGGCGACGACAAAGGACGACTGCTCTGCTATTATTGCTGCTGTCCTAAGCACTCCTTACTCGTGCTGTAAGCCACGCCACTTCTGTTGATATCACTGCTGTTTTTCTCCAGCTGGCACTATTTTGCGTCTCCGTTTGATCACGTCAGATGCTGCAGATACAGATAGCGAGAGAATAGTGGAAAGCAGATTCGTTACAATAGACATCGCATCAGCAACACAATGACGTCAACATGTAACATATGTATGTATGTATGCATGCATGCATGCATGCATGCATGCATGCATGGATGGATGGATGGATGGATGGATGGATGGATGTACGTCGTGCGTGTAATTTCATTGATTTTTCTCTATTCAGTACATGGGCATTTCTGTCTGACATACCGTGCTGTTTGGTCCGTTTTCGTTTACAGGAAAACGTTGGAGGCCCTAAAGAGAGTATAGCGAGAGAGAGAGAGAGAGGGATGGATGGATGGATGGATGATCGGATGAATAGATACATAGACAGATAAACTGGTATTTATGCGAAAAGAGAAGTAGGTAAATGAGAAGACTGGACCCATACCAGCGAGGGATACCCACTAAACCCTAAACCCTAAACCCTAAACCCGAAACCCTAAACCCTAAACCCTAAACCCTCCCTAAACCCATACCAGCGAGGGATACCAAGAGACAGGCAAACCCTAAACCCTAAACCCTAAACTCTAAACCCTAAACCCTAGGCCGGCTTCCACCGTCAACGGTGATTGGACGGTGACAGACTCAGCCGAGCTGGGAGCCACATTGCGGCCTCCAGCAGAGGACTCCAGGGTCTACATGGGTGGTTGTCAAAATTAGGGTCCCTTTTTGGGTTTAGGGTTTAGGGTTTAGTGGGTGGTTGTCAAAATTATGGTCCCTTTTTGGGTCCTTATAATACTACGGCACCTATTATTTAGGGTACCCCAAAAAGGGACCATAATTTTGACAACTACCCACATGGCTAGCATAGGCGAGCATCTACTGCTACTGCATAGTGATACTGTACAGGTTCATTATATGATGGCTTAGATAGCTTAGGGGTTCTGAGACCTATAGGACTTACTGTATAGGTTCAATATATGATAGCTTTGGGGTTCTGAGACCCATAGGACTCCGAAATCTCACGTGTTCCTCTAGGCCGCAGCCCGAAGGCCACTCCCGAAGCCGTGCTTGCAGTAAGGGTTTAGGGTTTAGGGATGCTAGGATCGGCTGGTCTTCTCACCGGTGGGCTTTGCACAAGCCTTGCGCGACGTGCTTAGCATCAGCTGTGTGACTCTGGAGCTTATTCTTTTCCCTCTCCGGGTCTTCCCGGAGGTCCCGGCCGGAAGCCTGAGCGGATTGCTTTGGGTATCGCAGATCTTCTGGAACCTTCGCATGCTGATGATGTTCAACACTGGGTATTACTTCAGGGGTCATCTGGTGCGCAATCGTCGGATGATTGCGACGCGTTATTTGCAAACTTGGCTAGTTTTCGACACTGTTAGCACCGGTGTGGACTGGCTGTTAGCAATCCTCGATCCATCTCACAATTTTTCGACCAGGATTGTCCCAGCAAATGTGAGTGTCGCTGTCCTTTGCCTATGGATCTTACAGACTCTCCTGCGACTCTGCCGTATCTGCATCCGTGCCCAGGGGCAGTCTGTGTCTGACGTGGTCAGTGCTCGCTGGGTCATTCTGCAATCAGTAGGCCAGATCCTGTTGGTGCACCATGTGTTGGCATGTGCATGGTACGGTATCGATTCCTATACAACCACGGATGGTTGGACACATATGCATGTTGCAGATGGCGAAGGTCTTCCTTACAAGTATACTACAGCCCTGCACTGGACGTTCTGTCAGCTTGGCTTCGGTTCCTCGGAGATTGAAGCGGTCAACACGCCGGAGAGGCTGTTTTCCTTGTTGGTCGTTTTTGCTGCATTGGTGGTCTTCTCCACTCTCTTGGCCGCAATTACAACCATGGCCACAAAGCTCAACAAAGCATCCGACAGGAAGCAGGAGCATTTTCGACAGCTGTTGAAGTACATGAAGCAGCATCAGATTGACCAAGACCTGCAAATGCGCGTCTTTGCATTTTTGGAGCATGCCTATTCCTTGCGCCAAGCTGTTGTTGCAGACTCTGAGGTGCCCATATTGGATCTGCTTTCGAAGCCGTTGCAAGCCGAGCTACAGACTTTCAGATACATCAGATGCCTGAACCAGCTGGACGTCATGAAGCAGCTTGTTTCTTCCGTAGACCAGCACTCCATACAGGCCATCAAAAGCCTCTCCAAGGTGTTCTCGCACAGGACCTTCGCTCCAGCCGACACTGTCTTCGAATGTGGCATGCTCGCCAAATCAGCCTACTTTATCGACACCGGTGAGTTTGTCTACGAACTTAGTGGGGACGCGACTCGTGTTGACAAGGGCAGATGGGTAGCAGAGATGAGTCTCTGGACCCCTTGGCTCCACATCGGAGACCTTACCACGCGCGATGTCTCGGGAGTCATTGTGTTGGATGTGTCTGGCTTTGCAGACACCCTCTGCCGCTCAAGCGAGAGCCTACTCAAGGCCCAGGAGTATGCTCAACAACTTGTCCAGCTCATGAACCAGGAGGGGACCGTTACAGACCTGTGGCAGTGTCAGGCGGGACCTGCCGCTGCCCCGCGGCAGAGCACTGCCGAAAGCCCCGGACGAAGTATGAGTCTTCCACATCGTCTCAGATTCTCCTGGCGGAGCCCGAGACCAGCACATCCGATTTCCTCCAAGCAGATTCTGCCACACGGTTGAGCAGTCTGAGCAACACATCTTTCTTGGTGTCACTCGTTTCCCTGGTGCTTGAGCCGCAGAGGGGCCGACGTGCAATCACGAAAGGCGAGCTTTTCCCAGGTGCTCGCATACCATCGGCACCGCTTCTGCCCTTTTTTCGGCCGTGGATTTAGGTTCTGAAATTAACATTAGGGCCTTAATGTTCAGAATAGGGTTCAGGAGTTATTACTTGTATAGGGACTTGAAGTGGATCTATTGCGAATCAGGGGCGGATGGTACCCAATGAGTTTGTACAGAATTGCGCCGGATATAAAGTCCGTCTGGCGTTCTTCAAAGGACAATTGCATGGGCATAGGCCCCAAGAAATCGCACTGGCTCATGGAATGATCACCGGCTGGCAACCAGCTGAGTCATATCTACCCTCGCCGAGGTGCTTGTCCACTTTTGCTTTCCTATCTTCCCTTAACCCTAAACCCTAAATCCTAAACCCTAAACCCTTTCTCTACTTTTTCTCATCTTTCGCCCAAATTGCGACGAATCTTGAGTACAATACATCCTCGACACACCTTTGCTAAAGCTCAGGAAGCAAAAAGGTCCGTGGCTTGAGTCCCGACTACTTGGAGGATCATGGGACTTAGGAAGTAAGGCTATAAGTAGCTAAATTGAAGTTATAATAGTTATAAGTAGTTAGAGCTATAGTTCCTCATTTAAATCCCTGGTTACCAAGTGCCATGATTCTCCGAGTATAGCATCTTATATTGCATCCTGTGCCAAGCGGTTGGGCCCGCTTTCACCAGACGCCGTCCAAGCTGTGCCGGCTCGAGGATCTTGCGCCACTTCCGCCAAACGGAAAAGGGGATAGGGGCCTGACTGTAAATCAGGACGTGTATGTTATTTTTATCCTGACACGCTTGAAAGCAGATTGATTCATGGTATGCGAACAAGAACATTGGACAACTTACACAGAACGGTTTCACACCAGATCACTGCAGGCAGCAGCAGATCGACTTATCATCGCAAAGCGTGGTGGAACAGGAAAGATCGAGGTCACAATCGCGACCATCCGGCGGGGAAGCTTCCATGTTGCACTCACTCAGACGCGTCACTTAAGCTATTTGGCATGTTGTGCAAAAGCTGATGGAAGAGCCCTTGGAATGCCAGCTTTGCCGATCGTCTTCAGCTCAGCTGCACGGACCTGGCGGCTGTTTTGAAGGCTTTAGGGTTTAGGGTTGTCCGGCTCGGGGTTCTGGGGTCTTATGGCGGTATCGAATTTCAAACGTGAGCGCCTGATGCCAAGATCCCCTGAACCCTAAACCCTAAGCCCTAAACCCTAAAGCCAAAACCGTAACTTGCGCTGCCGCCGAGGCGAAAGCATCAAGGCCATCTCGATCCCGACAATCTGCTTTGGTACTGCGAGGACATGATTAGGGTTTAGGGTTTAGGGTTTAGGGGTTTAGGGTTGAGGGTTTAGGCTTTAGGGTTGAGGGTTGAGGGGTTTAGGGTTTAGGGTCTAATTACATTGCTTGCACTGACTACATTTTTCATATCATATCATACCACATCATATCTTATTATATTATACCATACCATACCATATCACATCGTATCAGATCATGCAATATCATATCAGATCATACTCTTATTGTATACTAGCTTTTGTATGATATCTGCAATGAGTGGTATCTTGAGAGCTCGGGAGAAGTGAAGGTTTTTGATAGGCTGTTGGCTTGAAGGTTCAGGGCTCGGGTTGCCAAAAGTAACTAGCTAAAGGCTTGGGGACTTCCCGTATGGTCCTACAGAGGCATTTTGGGAGCCCTGAAAGTACCACCCAGAAAAGACTGCAGGGCAACAGGCTGGAGCTCGGATCGCGATTCGTGTGAAGTGGAACGATGCCGTCCTGACGGCTGGCGTGGGCTGTGTGTGTTTCGTCTCCGGCGACACGCTGCCAAAGTAGCTCGGCCAGGCCCCATAAAACGTGGCGTGCTACCACCCACCATCCAGAGAGTTCGTTGAAGACGGACTGGGGATAACGCTGCAAAGGCGTCCGTGCGCACATGCGAATCGAGTGTCACAAGCAGTGCGATCTGAAGCGCTGGGAACTAAACTGCTTTCCAGAAGGTGCAGGGCCAGACATGTCGTTTTGAAAAGTCTCTGCTCCTCCGAAGGCTTTAGGGTTTAGGGTTCAGGGTTTAGGGTTTAGGGTTCAAAGCCTTAAACCATCTTAAACCCTAAACTTTTCAGCTCCCTGGCCAGGCCCCATAGGTATACCTGTGCCGTACTATTACGAATACTGTACTAATCATACGTAATATTGATACGATTACGAGTACCTACGCTTCCGCGCATCGTAATAGATATATAGACATAGTAACAGTGTTGCTAGTACTAATGCAAGTACTACTTCAACGCCAGTGCTAGCCGGCTCTGGGACGGAAAGGAGTGCTGGATTGGCTTCTCCGGACACTCGCGTACATGCTTCCTTTGCAGAGAGTCCCGGGCTCAATGGTCGGATTTGGCTGACGTGACTATGCAGACAGGTCCATGCATACATATCTGCCTACTTTGTGCCTGTGTATACAGGTGCACACACAGACAAGTTTGTAAAGCAACGAATGAGTAATGAAGACTGAATGCAAGCATTTGCGAGTGTGTGTGTGTACACACACACATATATATATATATATATATATTTATCTGTACATACATGCATTCATGTATGCATGCATACATACGTCCATACATACATACATACATACATACATACGTACATACATACATGCATACATACTTACGTTCAAACATGCAACATGGGCACGTTTGTATGTATGCACGTTCATACATTCAAAGATACATGCATGCATGCATATACAGGCTGTTGCATAGCCATGCACCAACGCAGTTGGGCAAGGGTCTCAAAGTACAGAGATAGTGCTTCAGATTTGGCGCCATGTAGATAGTGCGAGATTCTTTCTGCAGTTAGCCTGTTTAGTGTATCGCAATAGACACAGGCCATGCAGCATGCATGTGGAATTCAACTCACGCACCCGGTGCAGGTGCGTGTGACGAAACATGATCAGAGAGGAGAGTCCACAACACCGTCAGGGTTTAGGGTTTATTGCAATTAAGCTGCTGTCAGCAGCCCATGGACAACAACGTGAGTTGTTCTTATACCGCTCAATGTGCAGAGCTGGTTGCAGCCGTGTAGCAATTTGTATGCTGAAGGCGGCTGCTGGTGTGCGTGAGATGTTTACCAGAGTGCGTCTCAGCCCTCGAACTCTGCAATACCAACATCGATACACGTGCATACACAGATACACGCAGGCAAAGCCGGCAAAGCCACACAGACACCGACACACACACAGAGAGAGGTACATCTATCTATCTATCTATCTATCTGTCGGTCTGTCTATCTATCTATCTATTTATCTATCTCTCTATTTATGTATGTATGTATGTATGCATACATACATACGTACATACATACATGCATAGATACACACATACATACGCACATACGCGTAAATCTCTTTATGTGTTTCTGGAGTTTTCTTTAATAAGACTTTAATGGAATCCGGTGTTTTGAGCCTACCCGGATGGGCGAGGTTTGCTCCAGCCGGCAAGGTGGACACCAGTGACCGGCGATGGTGCGCCCTTTCCGAACCCAAGCTTTTTGCGCCGTACTTTCTTAATGATTGGTTCCGTAGATCCACTCCTTTATGTGCAATTGGCAAGCAGCTTTACACAAAGTGCCCGACGTGTCGACAGGGCAATTTCAACATGAACGGTCGCAGCATACTCGCATCATGCTGTGGCCATCCGGGAGAGCTGTCGAGCAGTTTGAGGTACTGTACCAACTGCTGGGGCGACTACGACGCTGTGCTCCCAGATTCTAGGATTTAGAACTAGCCTGGAGCCCTGACGTGGCGGTAGAACCCTCTATTCACACTGCACCCTAGACTCTATAATCCCGAAACCGAACCCGATAACCTTAAACCCTCTTTCTCCGGCTTGTCTGAGGCCGGAAGAGGTACCGGGATGCCGGGTTTCAGAGCTTTTCGCGAAGGGCTTTAGGGCGTTTTTGGGTTTGGGGTTTGGGGCTTCTTAGCTTGCCAGGAGTCTGTGATGTAGGATTTCGGTGCAGGTGCTCCTCAGATTTCATGAGAGCTCCTTTTACAGCGGTTGCGAATTGAATGTTGTTGTTGTTGTTGTTGTTGTTGTTGTTGTTCTTGTTGTTGTTCTTGTTGTTGTTGTTGTTGTGGTTGTTGTCGTCGTCGTTGTTGTTGTTGTTCTGGCTTGCGGCAGCCTTCTTCGGACATGGCGCAATGCTTCCGTTCGCCGGAGGCAACACATCCCCTCACATATACTTTCTACTATTTCTATTGTTCTTATACTTTGTATTATTCATAGACACTAGATACTTGCTACCGTTGTATATATATATATATGCATACATACATACATACATACATATATACATACATACATACATACATACATACATACATGTATGTGTACATGCAGACGAACATATATATGTATATATGTATATATGTATGTATCTATGTATGTACTTATGTATGTATGTAAGTATGTATGTATGTATGTATGTATGTATGTATGTATGTATGTATGTAGGTATGTATGTATGTATGTATGTAGGTATGTATGTATGTATTTATGTATGCATGTATCTATATATATATATATGGCTACCCCCAACATCTACACCTTATCTATTCTTCTCCCTGACACAACACGATGTCTCGATCCTAACTACACCATGTGCAAGAAGTGCTGTGATTACCAGTGAAATCGGCTTCTCCGTAGAACAGCTACTTTGCTCATCGCGTGTGTTCAAACTCGTTACACAGAGCAATTTGCACCCCAGGATCTGGTCACCGAAAGGGATCGCAAGTAGAAGTGACTATGAACGAACAGAAGCCAGATTAGTGGAATGGCTGAGAAGGAAGAAAAGATGAACATAATGAACATCTGTATCGTACAGCCTGTACAATACAACA